TCGTCGAGCGTACCATCATCATCCATTAAAAAATTATATTAATTAAATTTTATATTTAAAATTTTAACTTGTTTTTAAAAGTTTTAAGAACTCTATGAACCCTCAAACTTTTTTTACCTCAATATCAATTCACTGAATTTTTAAGGGGGAAAAAGATAGAAGCAGCAGGAAAAAAAAGTAGGGTTTTGTGGATCCCGAATCGTCGATGGATCCAAGAATGGAGAATTCATCGACAATGCAGCATTGTAAAGTGGTATCAACTGAGACAAAAATCGCCGGCTTTGTTTTGTCCGTCACAATGATTTCTTCTAAGAAACTTCAAAGTCAGTTTCCTGCTATTTCCTTCTTGCAATGCTTTTGTAATTACAAATTGTTCGACAAAGTCTGTACTTTTGTGGATTTTCTTTCAAGGTATGCTCATTCTTTCCTTTGCAATTCAAATTGTCTATACTTTTGATCCATTTTTCCTTGTGAAATTTGAAATAAGGAACGCTACTATATGCTTATTTCTTTCTTTCCATACTTTACTTTTTACTGGGAACAGTTGTTTATGCATTTTGGAGAGCAAATGGGTGAGATTGATACCAAACCTATTGGACCTGTTCAAGTTGCAATCTCTTTATTCGGCCAAAATAATAGCCACTTGAGACCCCGATCGAGCGGCAGCCATGTAAGATTCGAATTGTTATTATTATGAATTTACTCAAATTTTAATAATTAAATGAGATTTTAATATAATTTTATTAGTTGAATATTATTTAGCGATTAATTTTTTTTAGCAAGTAAATGTTTAATTAGTTGAAAATATTATAGAATAATTTTTTTGATGATTAAATATTTGACATTGAATATAAAATAAGTTTTAGTTTTAGAAGTATGAAAGAGACAAATATGAGACGCATATAATATTTATTTTGAGTTTAGGGTTTATTTTTTTTTTAAAAAGGTCTCATTAAAAACCCCTTTTAAGACCTATAAGATAAAAAAGTGCCCTAAAACCTTGTATTAGTAGAAGAAAAATCATTGAATATAGTTGACGTAATAATCTTGAGACAAACTGAGTCAAAATACAAGACATTTTCAGGATGGAGAGCTCACTTAGCCAAAGTATGTGTCACAGTATTACAAGCTCTAAGAATAAAACACACTTTGTAATTTAAATTAACATCCAAAATCGTACGAATTTCCCGAATTGAAATAAAGGTATTCATTATATTTTATATTATAGTGAAATTCTCTCTTTTATGTAGAGGTAAATAATTGTGCTCGAATCATATATTTAATATTTTTTTTATTTGTGTAATTTATTTCACGGTGATCTCACGTCGAATATCTTTGCACTTAAAATCTTTTAGCAAGTAATATCATAACTATAGTTTGGGACTGGTGATGATACAGTAATGAATAGTTGTTTAGTTTCAAAGAAATTTTTGATGCGACATGTGTTAACAAACGCACAAGACGAGGTTTGTTATAACACATTTTTAGTTTTTGGTTGTAGGGAAATAATTTTCAATTAATCTACTGGTGCTTCAATAAATATTTGTTTTACGTAGAAATAGAAATAAAAGTTATTGACGACTAATGTTTTGACGAAATTTACGTTAATTTGAGATTTTCATGTATTGAATCAAGTTCTAATTGATAATCAAATTAAATTTGAATATAATATAAAATTTATTTAATAATCAAATTAGATAAAAAGTTTTATAGAATAAGAATTTTTTTTATGATTAAATATTTCACTTTATAAATATAGAATTAATTTTAACCTTATGATATCTCTGTTTGAGAGATGTAAACTTTATTTGAAAGTCTACTTTTGCAGGTATGTAGTAAGAGCATGGTAAAACATAGAGTATATGAGTAAAAGAGGATGCATTTAGACACCATGGAGAATAGAAATGAGATTTGTTTTGGGTTCAAGGTTTAATGCTTTATTTTACCAGATAATGGCTCATTGTAATCTCTATGCTTTATAGTTTCTCTCTCTCATCTCTTGAGGTAGGCAATCGTGACTGAATCACGTTAAATACTATTTTTTGTGTGTGATCTATTTCATGTTAATCTCTCGTCAATCACCTTTTCACTTACAAATTTCTAACAGGTATACCAGAACTATGGTTTGAGACTCGTGATAATATGATCATGAGTAGTTATTAAATTTCAAAAGAATTTGTTATTTTGGTATTATGTTAACAAGATTGATTTTTCACTTACAGAGGAAGTAACTCTCAATAAATATAACAAATTTTGAAAGGATCCTATCTAAGTACATAAAACCTTTTAAAAAATTGAACATATATATATCTAATGTTCACATTCAAAGACATTGAATAAGCTAATTCTTATATGTTTAATTTTAAGCTAATTCTTATATGCTTCATTTTCTTTTGTCAGTCCGATGTGGAAAAAAAGAAAGGGGTTGAAGGCACAGAAAAGGGATCGGCCAACCACGGGCTTCATATGGAAGCAAAGGACTCTGCGAACATGGAGGTTCTTCGTCAACTAGAACACTACAAGAAAACAACACATGAACTCTCTGTGCTGCTAAAGAAGTCCGAGTTTGAGAGGGATAGATATATACAGGAATGCAATGAAGTCAAGGATCGGATCAACGAACTCAAATCAAAGATGAAGGGGATGGCAGATCAGTTGTCCGAATCGGCAAAGATCCGCGAGCAGCTTTCGTGTGTTTTAATTGAGCTGAAGATTACACAAGCTGATCTACTTAACATGGAATCCCAACTTGCTGCTGCAAAAGATTTAGAGCTCAACGCAACTGCACAAGCAGAAATGATGGAAGCCTCTGCTAAAACGGAAAAGGAAAGGTCTGAAGAGCTTCTAGGCCACATCGCAGAGCTTCGCGATGCAGCTCATGTTTCAAAGCTTGCTGATACGGAAGCTGAGAATGAGAAGTGCAGGATTGAATCTGAGAAAGATGCCCAAATGGAGCCGTTCAAGGCAACGTATTTCGAGCAAAAGAAGAGATGGACGATCTGAGAAAACAGTTGGAAACAGTACAAGAACTCGAGAATCAGCTCGTAGAGAAGAGCGCGTTATCGATTCATTGCAGGCAAAACTTGAACAGGTAACTAATGCGCTTGGTTCAACGGAGAATGCTAGTTTGGATGGTGGAATTGATCTGAACCAAATAGCACAAGACTTGGAGTTCAAGGCAAGAAAGATATCGGATCAAGCGTTTTACATAGCGGAGTTGGAAACGGAACTTAAACGATTAGAATTTGAACTTGAAAAAGCTAAGCAAGAGGCAAAGAACCTGAACTGTAATGTTGAAGCTCTAAAAAGTGATTTAGAGAAGCTACACATTGAGATGGATGAAGTTAGGAAAAGAGAAAAGGATGATCAAAGAGATAAGTGTGTTGATCATATAACGATTACGATCGAAGAATACAACTCTTTGATCCGAAAAGCTGAGAAGGCAGATGAAATTTCGAGGTCTAAGGCAGAAAATTTTAATCAGTTAACCACAGAGTGGGCAAACAAGAATGAGGTTGAAGCTTTGAAGAAGGAACTAAAATTAGCAGCTACGAAAATCGGGTTGTTCCGGAACAGGGCAGAGCAAGCGGCTACGAGGGCGGACGCGGCGGAGAAAGCCAAAGCAACAGCAGAGGATCAGCTGAGGAAGTGGCAAGAACAGAAGCAAAGAAGAAAAGCTGCTTTAGTTGCTTTAAGGGAAGAGTCTGCACCCAAACAGTTTAGTCCTCCCACTATTGAAAACTTACCTACAAACCATCAGCCATTGGGTCAAGTTCTTAACCTAAAATTCTAGTCTATGAAATTTCTAAAGACTGAAATTATCATATTGAACTATTTGTATGAAAGATGTTATATCTATAATGGTGAATGCCGTGTTATGATGCTTGTATCTGTTTTTCTAATTGCTAACAGAACTTTCAACTTTTACCTTGGTTTGCATTAGAGTGGAGGAATAATCAAATAAGCAAAGATGTGATATTTGCAATTCGATCCTACACTATACTATTTTCTCAATTTGGTTCTTCTACATTTTTGTCCAAATAAAGACCTGATTTTATTATTTTTCTCATATTAGCCATACTGTTACGAATGCCATAAAAAGTGTCACACGTGGTTCCTGCTAGCATCTCATATTAGGGTCAGGGTAATTTTGAGATTATTAAATTCAGGGCTCAAAGTTTATTTATGAAACAAAACAGGTCTTTCGAGCTGTGGTTCTGTTGGAGTTCGATGTGTATTTTGGGATTTGTACCATTGGAGCCCTTAAATTCATTAGCTAATTAAATGACCATTTGGGCCTTAAAAAATTTTCATTTAAGGTTAAAGAACCTATTATATGAATCCATTATTCTACAAATAACCCAATTATTCGACGATAAGCCGAAACTCATATAATCAGCGGTTTTTTTGGTCCATTACAGCAAACGGGCTTTATATTTAGCTCATTAGCGCACCCAACTTCTTATTTTGGGGAATACAACAATTGTTATAGTGTAGTAGAGGTGGCGAGTTCCATGAAATATAATTTTTTAATGTTCTAACAAGTGGGCCCCATGTGGGCATTAATTTAATGTAATTGATGGGTTCATTTGTATTATTTTTAAAAAAATTATAAAAATAATTTAAATTTTAAAACTTAAACAAATTAACGGAACTCGTCACATCGACGTAACGAGTTCCTTCGAATTAAAAAAATATCCATTTTTTCAACGGTAAACAATAACAATCACTTGGGCAACGATCATAATGTAAATCGTCACCTCCGCCGAATTTTTGAAATTACTAGCCATTTATAGCCATTGGGATTGGGGCTATAAATAGGGGTTTGGGGTTTAGAATTTTTACCATCCTTTGTTACGAACAAATTTGATCAAAATTCATATTTCCTAAAAAAATCTCGAAAAATGGCTTCCAGAGAAGAAATGTTGTGCCTCGATAATGTTCATATTTTGTCGATCGAACTCATTCTGGAAGAATAATGAAGCATTCGTCAGCGCAGGATGACCTCGAGAGATCCACATCAGCAGATGATGATATATTTTCAACAATCGGGTCTATTTCCAACTATATTTGTATATGGCTTTAAGGTGTATCCGTCATTGATTTCGACTCGGATTGAATGTTTGAGGCCTGAGACACACACTTTCCATGTCCCAAGTGCTGAAGCCACGATTACTTTGGAAGACGTTGCTTACCAACTCGGTGTTCCTATGAATGGTGCCGCCATCGTGAGGCACAACAATTATAACCCTATCGTTAAGGTCCACGAAGTTTTGGAAAAGCTACCACCATATGAAGTCATGGACGACTATCGGATACGGATGGCGTGGTTGGAGTTTGAATTTCAGGTAACGGATGACTCTACTGACAAGGAGGTTATTTTTGCATCCCAAGAATATCTTCTCCAACTAATCGGAGGGGTATTATTACCAGATAAATTTGATAATTTGGCGCACACTTAGTATCTGCCTATATTAAATTACTTCGCTGAGTGTCATAATACTAATTGGGGCTCGATGATTTTTAACCTTTTTGTACCGGGAGCTTTGCAAGGCTGCAATTGTTAAGTGGGGTCGAAAAGCAACGTAGCAGTCAGTCTAATATTGCTACAATTGTGGGCTTGGTATTACTTCCCTTTTTGACGCTAATTACAACACCTCGGTTGAGTTTCCTCTGGCTAGAAGGTAATTTCTTAACTTTATTTTTAACTAATTTTTTAATATATTTATTTAATTTCTTATTTGTTTTCAATCGTTTTTTTTTAAATTTTTTATATGGTTCCATAAAATAACCGAGACGAAGTTGTCGGGTGTCACTACAAAAGATATACAGATGAGGATCAACATCGTCGGTCGATATGCAGTAAATATTAGTTTTTTTAATTATTTTTTAAAATTGTTTAACTTGTAGATATTAACATTTATAATTACTATTTACAGTTTTCTTGGCTTCCGTATGCAGACAAAGAGATCTTCCGGTTATTGCCACTGAGAATTTTTTATGGGTCGATTTATGGTGTACCGTGACGACTGTATTACATTTTACGACTGTTGAGTTGCAAGCTGCTGATAAAGTGTTGTGACAATTTACATCTCATCAGTTGATTCCTACGTAAATATGATATACGGACGCACTCCATAAAATTAATACGCATAGGAAACATATAGAAAATTGGCCGAGTAAGCACACTTACTACATTGAGCAATGGAATCAGAGTCAGAACCTCTCACATTACGAGATTACACATATAGACCTAGATTTCGACCATTATCCCTATCTTCGAAATTACGAAGCAAATGGGAAACCATATCTCTTGACAGCGAAACAGATGGGAGAATGGGAACAACACAAGGCCAAATTCGCCAAGTCGAAGAAATCATCGACATCTTTTTATTCTGCTTCAACATCTGCATCCAAGACTACTATTATGCATCTTAGGCTAGTTTCAGTTTCTATCTTGCATATCATACTTCAACCGAGGCTCGGCTGACTTGGGTTGGAGGTTCATGGGATGCAATGCACTACAATTAAGCATCTTTGACAAAACATGCGATTGAGGGTGAATGAGATCATATCATATATGGTCAACAAGGTAGTCAAGTCAATTCAGTAACGAAAATGATGGAGTCAAATGCCATAAGCCCATCACCATATTTTGAAGATGGATATGAGAGTATGTTAAGCACACCTTCTTTTGAACAACCAAAGCAAGATGAAGATGAAGATGACAACAACTATCAAGGCCGAAGACCCTGGCGTACTCGACGAGCCTCATGCCATTATCATTTGACCACTCCTCGGCATCGTCAAGAACTTAGAAAATATAAATAAATTTTATTATGTACTAGTTTGTAAACAATTTCTTTTTAAATAAAATTATTAATTTACTCTTTAATTAATTTTTTAAAATTTAATTCGAAGGTGACGAGTTTCATGATGACCATTGCCCAAGTGACCGTTGCTGTGTCCGTTAACTAACGACTATTTTTTAATTCAAAGGAATTCGTCACCTCGAGGTGATGAGTTCCATCAATTTTTTCAGGTTTAAAATTTAAATTATTTTTATATATTTTTTTAAAAATTGTAACACCCTTAACCCGTGTACGTACTTAAATACGAGTTAAAGATGTCATATTGACTTTTTATATGTTCGTACTTGATAACCCGTAAAATTTTGTTTCATTTTAAAATTTCAAATTATCGATTAAAATCCATTTAATCATTCGTTTAAAAATATAAAATAATATTTTATCATCAAATTTTAATATGAATTTAGGTAGCAATTAGGTAGTTCGATGTTGTTTCTCAACATATATAAACTGCGAAAATACTGCATAATTTAAAAGCAACCAATAAACCTTTAAAACAGTTCTATCAGAATAACCAAAACATTTATAATATACATACCACTAATAAGTTAAAGATGTCTTACTGATATTGTAGGTCGGTAGCATTTCCTAAGAAAAGATGTTCTCAATGCTTCTCACTTGAAGTCCTTTTTCTTTATTTGAACTTGCACATGAAAATAATACGCGCTAAGTTAAACTTAGTGAGGCAGTATTACAGCTAAGGTTTAACATCATTAAACTTTCAAACCGATTGTTTCAAGCCATTATCCTCATCAGAAACCTGAAAATCATCATCTCATGATTTTGTCAAAACCATGAAAATCAATATTAAACATAAAAATCATCTCATATTCTTTCTCATTCAAACATATTTCATAATTTCCATATTCCTTTCCTTTCAGAAACTTTTGAAACATCACATTCATTTTTTTCATAATTTTACTTTTATAACCCAATGTATATGTAAGAGAATACAAGGTACGTGAATCAAACATAATGTGCGCACTAGGCAGTTCACAGTGCCAATCATCATCATCATAATCATTATCATAAGATGCACTCCAAGTGCAATCTTATCATTTGCTCCAATGATGCCATACATAATATACACAAATGTACCATATAGGAATCAAACTTTACTTTAACTTTATTCAACTTCCTGGCATGCCAAGTGTACCTACGACTCTTAATGCAACATACAATGGGCTTTTAGATTATATCGAATTCATTTAATAATTAACATTTCCAAATTGAAATCATTTTAAATTCATCATCATTAAAAAAGCGTAACTTGGGCAGTTCATACCCTAAAATAATTCAGATAACATTTCTGAAATCATTAAAGAAATATTTCATCATTAAAAAATTAGATTATTCTTTAAAGTCACTTTAGCAAATTCATTCGAATATAATTTTCATATAATATCACATAAAAATGTATTGGGTAATTTCATACCCAAAAGTAATCAGAATTCCTTTATATAACATTATGGAAGTATTCCATAATTAAAATAAAATCATACTTTAAAATAATATGAGGTTGACTTATCTCAAGTCTTCCTCGACTAAAATAATTAAATAAATAAATTGCACTCACATTTGCCTCACTACAGAACCTTAAATACGATATTCTTTTATTCAAGTGCTTTTCCCTTCGCATTCTAATCCACTAAGATCATAAAATTTGTTGTAATTTGAACGATATCATATTCATAACAAAATATTCAAACAATATGTTAGTATTATACTAACATAATCTTAACTCCATAATATAAATTTCTATAAAACCAAAACCGATATTAATTTGATATAGAACCAAATCAAAAATCCCTAATATCTTCAACCTTTCTAAAATATCTATTATATTCCATAAATATCCGCTTCCATCATAAACTTTACATTTAAGTTACTCTTTATGAATTCTCTTTAGAATTCGCATCAGCTTTTCCATTTAATTCATAAAGGCTCTTCATCATTATTCTTACTTCAATCAAATACTAAAACTTTTCAAATTTGTAATTTTGTACTCAAATAGTACTATTACATTTGCAAACTTGCAATCAAGTCCCTAACCTTTAAGTCTATCGAATTCCACTAATAAATTTCTCCAAATTTGCACTTTGTTCCCAAATCAATATTCTAACTTAAAATTCAACATTCAACAATTAATTTCCAACATTGAACACCCTTAATTACATCGTTATACATCAATGTCCTAAAATTCTTAAAACTTGCAAAATGGTCATTTTTCTATCTCAAGGTTCTAAATTGATCCAAATCAATCTCCAAAGCACATTTTCCCCTAAAATTTCCCTTATGGTCGAACATATATAAGCAATTTAGGGTAAAATTTCATTCAATTTCAAGCATGAATTCAATCTCCTAGCATCAATTTCATGTTATTCCAATCATCTAACATCAAATTCAATCAAAATTCAACCAATATCCATAAACCCTAGCCATGGTCGAAAATTATATATGCTTCTATACTTGATTTTAATCATCACTCATGATTTAAAATTAAGGGTAAAGTATAGTAATGGTCACTGAACTTTTCTAAAGATTTCATTTAGGTCCCCTAACTTTTAAAACTTGTAATATAGTCCTCCAACATTTAGTCTGTTTGCAATATGGTCCCCGCCTTTACACTGCCATTAGTACGTTTGCAATATGGTCACTGAACTTTTTAGGCGATTACATTTAGGTACCCCAACTTTTAAAACTTACAACACAGTCCTTAATTTCATTCTAAACCCCAAATTCTTTTTCGATCTCAAATTTCCTTTTTCGCTTTTCTCTTCTAATTTCCAGCGTAACTTTTCAGTCGGGGATGCCTGTGAAATTCTAATCTAACTTTGAATTATGTGGAGGAGTTGAATTGAATAAGGGTCAATTGAGAGAAGACCGACCAAGGGACTATCAGGACCATCAACGATTCAAGGTGTAATGTTAGATACAAGTCATCTCAGGTGAAGCATAGATGTTCAATGAAATGCTTGTGAGAAAAAAATGGGGTTAGAAATGCAGAATTGAAAAATACTACTAAGATGAACTAAGTATTATTGTTGAAAGTCACCAACAAAGCTGGAATTATTTTGTATAAATGAAATATAATAATTTCTTCGTTTGATCCTTGTGGCTAAAGATTTTCCAACAGATGATCAAATATAATGAAATCCCAAACATCACATTCACCTCTTAGTCTCTTTCGCTCACATGCACTCTCGTTTGGTTTTTGTTCTTCAATTTTCCGCCATGTAAAATTATAAACCCAAGCAGTGCTCTGTCTTTCATATTTTTATTTACAAAGAAAAAATGGATGAAGAATTGCTGGAACATAACATTGATTTTTTATTTCTTAGCCTCTCCCCTCACTTGCAAGAAGGTATTTATTTTATCTTTTGAACTATCCGAAAGTAAGCTTTTCCTCTTTCTCACTTTCCCATTTTCATATCACATTTTGTGTTTTTTGTTCAAATTTTTATGTTTCTAGAACTGCATGTCAATGATCTGGATATTCATTGTTAGTTTTGAACCAAAACCACCTAATTTTCTTTCCTTCTTCTTAATCAAAACTTTTAGTACTCTTTATGAAAGATATTCCATCCATCAGA